TATATTCAGATGTTACCAAACGGTCTACATCTTAAAAATTAAGTGGTTGCCTCTTAATTTTCCAATTAAGAGGCTACCAAACAAGGCCTTATTAATATATTTTTATTATGCAATTTTGTTTCTAGGACGAGGCATTGTACTGATTAGCCATTAAAGGAGGCCACTATTGTTGGCCCAACTTCCATAAGGCCCAACTTTTATAGCGTCCCTGCTACTCCTATTGCTAATGTTTCTGTTTTACCTACGTTTACCATTTTTCTCCTATCTTTGCTTTCCCAAATTCAAATTATAATTTATATTTCTCCCCATAAATTCTGTTCAGTCTAAACTCTAAAAGCACCATGGATATGGTGTTCTTCTGTTCAAAACCCCATTGCTTTGGTTCCCAACTACAGCCGTATCAGCAATCCATCGTTTCACCTTCACCTCTTTCTTCCTTTCAATCCAAAACCCTTAATTTTACCCGCTCAATATCTCTGTTTGCCGCCAAAAAAACAAGGGTTATTTCCAATCTTGATTCTCGAGTCAATGGTGCTCTTTCATCTGACCCTGATTCTAGCTTTCTGGACAGGGTATGTTCTTTAATCTTTTTTTGCTTGATGTTTAACATCGCTATGCATTTTGCTAGACCCAAAATTGACATTTATTTTGAAGATATTAGTTCTGTATAATATTCTAAGTTCTTGTAAGATTAGAAGATTTGATAAAAATAAGTTGTATAACAAGTAGAACGGAGTTGATGAAGCTTTAGAGTGGAATATTTGATCTTCTAATCCTCACTCCGTTATGATGGATTGATGATAATTTTAGTGTGTACTTAAGCTTATAGCGATCACTTTTACTTTGAGTAGGATTAGGATCATGATTCATTTCAATTTCCTCCAAGAATTTCCACAAAACATAATCTATAGCTTAATAGTGCACTAAAATGGTTAGGACACAGAACACTCTATATATAAGTTCCATGAGCGATGCATAATAAACTTGTTTGATTACTTTGGTTGTGAATTTTCGCCTCTTTCTTAGCTTACCCACAACATATGAGTTAACTATCTGATACTTTTCTAGTTATCTGATACTTTTTTAGCTGAACTCAGGTAAGAATTGTATGGTGGTGACCTAATTTAACTAAAAGCCCATTATTCCCTATGTCTGAAATCACAAACACACGAGTAGAATTTGATTCCATCAAGTAGTGATATATGTAGGAAAAACATTGTAATATGATGCATGATAAGAAATTCAGCGTGTTACATTTGCAGCAAAAAGCATTGGAAGCTGCAATGAATGATATCAACAACTCATTCGGGAAAGGAAGCGTGACGAGACTTGGAAGCCTTGGTGGAGCTCTTGTGTATGTTCTTATTTAGGACAAAAGACATAAATGCCCTCCAAAAAACCACAGTCTAAAAGCTTTTGAACCGAAAACACGAGAACACATTGCAATCTTAATCTTGTATATTATAAATCAGAATTGTTTATGGAAATGAGTTTATGGCTTTTACAGTGAAACATTCCCAAGTGGCTGTCTTCCTTTAGACCTTGCATTAGGTGGTGGCCTACCTAAAGGGAGAATTGTAGAGGTATTCATTTTTGTTTTCTAAATTTCTTTTAGAATCTGATCATATATTAATATTAACATTCTTTGTTTTGGGTTTTAGATTTATGGGCCTGAAAGCAGTGGAAAGACCACCTTAGCACTACACGCCATTGCAGAAGTGCAGGTTTTTTTTACTTGTAAATTAAAAAAAAAAAAAAAAAAAAGGAATCATTTTTTTTAAGAATTTTTATGAATGATTCAGAAGCTAGGAGGGAATGCAATGCTTGTAGATGCAGAACATGCTTTTGATCCATCATATTCCAAAGCATTAGGAGTTGATGTGGAAAATCTTATTGTTTGCCAACCAGACAATGGAGAAATGGCACTAGAAAGTACTAAACCCTAAATAAACCCTAATTTCTCTATTTTATTTTTTTATTTATTAATTAATAAAAACTTTTTAATTTTCTTCCTCCAGTTGCAGATCGCATGTGTAGATCTGGTGCAGTTGATCTCATTTGCATTGACTCTGTCTCAGCTCTTACTCCACGTGCTGAAATTGAAGTAACCATCTATCTCCATACTTTTTTACTTATACATATTTACATTTTTAACCTTGCTTTTATCTTATTTATGTTATGATTTATGAAGGGCGAAATTGGAATGCAACAAATGGGTTTACAAGCACGGCTTATGAGTCAAGCATTGCGTAAGATGTCAGGGAATGCATCAAAAGCTGGATGCACACTTATCTTTCTTAATCAAATAAGATACAAGGTCTCTCCACTTTAATCTTTCTTTCATTAAATAATCAAGTTTTTATTATTTTTTTTTTAATTATAGAATTGAAAAAATAAATAAATCAGATTGGAGTGTATTATGGAAATCCAGAAGTTACAAGTGGAGGTATTGCCTTGAAGTTTTTTGCATCTGTTCGACTTGAAATACGGCCTATAGGGAAGATAAAGTCTGTAAGTAACCACATATATAAATTTTTTTAAATACCATTTTGATTTTTTTTCATGAGTTGACTTTTTCACAGGTCAAAGGTGATGAGGACATTGGGCTTAAGGTTCGAGTAAGAGTTCAGAAGAGTAAGGTAAATAATATCTTTTTTTCTGCTTTTTGTATTTTAAAAACAAAATTTTCATTTTTTAAAATATGTTGTGTAGGTTTCTAGGCCATACAAGCAAGCAGAGTTTGAAATTATATTTGGAGAGGGAGCAAGCAAATTGGTTAGTTTCATCTTCATCTTTTTTTTTTTTTTTTTTTGCATAATTTTATTAAATTTATTTATATATACAGGGATGCGTATTAGATTGTGCTGAAATGATGGACATTGTGTTGAAAAAGGGCTCTTGGTATAGCTTTCAAGATCAAAGGTTTGTCTTCTAAACTCTTTACATATATATATATATATATATATATATATATATATATATATATATATATATATAATTATATTCGTGTTTGATTATCATGAAGGTTGGGACAAGGAAGAGATCGGGCATTGCAGTATTTGAGGGAAAACATTCCTCTTTGTGATGAGATTGAAAAGGTATTTATTATTAATAATTCTTGTAAATAAAGAATTCATTAATTTAAATAGTGTAAAGGTTACAAAGTTAATAAAACTATATGTTGTATTTACATATGATACAAAATATTCATCTTATTTGATTATTTCCAAAGACCAACGAAACATGAATATGTGATTATGGAATATTGGAATGTCATCGCTTATTCCATTCCATTCTTTCCTGATTCCATTCCATCCAAAAGGGAATATTAATAGTATTTATGTGATGCAGCTTGTGAGGTCAGCAATGATGGATGGAAATGGGCAAGCAGTTACTTCATATGCCCGAAACTCAACACCACTTCATGAAGAAGATGAATTACTTGAAGAGCTACAATGAAATATGCTTAACACATAAAAATTGTAAAACATTTTGTAATCCTTTTTTTTTTTTTCATTAAAAAATCGTACATGTTTTAAACCTTGGTTTATGCCCAATATCATTTAATATATTAAGAGAGAAAACATGGTGGGTATAAATTAAATTTTGAGTTGACATTTATATGTAACTTTCTAGTTTGTGTGCTTTGAATGTGTCCGTAATGACATATTAGTTTCTGACAAATTTGTGATTTCCCTATCAATAATTGACTTTTGATTTTGTAAATTTAAACCTTCATTGTAATATCATTTCTTCTCTTCTTATAGAAGACCGGGTAAACTGTATTTGCTCTCTTTTTATTTTGTTTAATCTTTTTTATTTTTGTAAATTAAAACTTTGTTATTATAATCATATAATGTATATAATAGCATTGGTAAACAAAAAAAATTATATATAATAGAAATATTTAAAAGAAAAAGTGAAATTTCACCTTGGGCTAAAAATGAATCTTAGGAGCTAGATTTGACAATTTGATAGATGAACAAGACCGTGGGTTTTAGAAATTTGTATTTCATGCTGACAATGACCTTGGGTTTTAGAACATGACCCTGTGTTTTGTGTTAAACACGAATGTATCTGTTTAAACACGTATAAAACATGAATTGAATTTGTGTGACATGCAACACGTATAGACACGCGACACATGACAAGCATATAAATGAATTAAATGAATGTTTTTCTTGCTAAAAATGGTATTAGATAACATGTCTATAAATTCATGTTTTTGTATAACATGGTTAAAAACGTGTCTATTCGTGTCGTGTTATATGACAGATTAATTATGCGCCGTGTTCATGTTTGTTGTCCAAAACACGTTTTATAAGTGTCTGACATGTCTAACGACACGAAAACGCGAATTTCCAAGTCTAGAGCTATGGCCTGAATTTAAAGTCATCAAATAAGAAAATTCTAAACTGTCATCACTGTTTGAATTCTTCAATCGATTTTGTGTTTGGATGAAAAAACATCTACGATTTGATTTGCAAATATCATTCATTCATATATTTGATGTGTGATTATGATTTTCCAGTAGTTGAAGTTTTTGGATTTATAATCTCAATTTTTGTTTGCAAACACGAAAAGATAAAAAAAAAAAAGAAAAAAAAAAAGCAAAAGTATAATATTTTTTGTTTAGGCTAACCATCAAATAAAATGATGTAAAATAAAATTAAAATTGTGTTTATATGTTGTAGTAAGGTAGGGCGGTTCGCTTGAGTTACTCAACCGTCCCTTAGCCCGGTGCTCATGACGCTGGACCGTAGGAATGTAAAAGGATATGAAAGCACAAAATTATATATATATATATATATATATATATATATATATATATATATATATATATATATATATATATATTAACTTTTAATAATAAAATATATGTAATGACGATCCAAATAAAAATTTAGCTACCATATTAGAATATATATAAGTATTAAAGCCGACTAAACCTACAATAACATATCATAATTGTATAAATAGTGAATTAAATAAATAAATATGGGTGTACAAATACAAAAAAAATACTTTCATGATAATTCTGACAAAACAAGTAACATTGGTAACTCAAATTATATGATACTTTATTTCACAAAACATGAAAACATGATCATCGAATAACTATCCATTCCATTATATGCTTATTCCATGTTAAATGCCCATTCTAATTCTAATCCTATATCTTTGTAGTTGTAGTCTCATTCGATCAAATCAAACAAACCTAGATTTTTTGGGTCTACACTTTTCTAGCGCAAAATAAAGATTAAAGTGGCAAAATCATACAATAGCAACTTATTTTGGTAAGCATGCATAAACATAGGAATAAGTAAACAAGAACAAGATTTGATGTATTATATTGTACACATTTACTTAAACAATTCCATATAATGGACGAAAAATACAAGAAATATTAAACATACAGAAGCATATATAGATTGATTCTACTGTGCCAAAGCACTTGTGCTGTAGACTAGAAGAGCACCTCCTCCTAGAATTCCAGCCAAGGTAACAGCCCATATCAACAACCCTGTCGTCCCTACATTCATATATATCCCAACATTTCTTCAATTTCAGCCTCAAAAACAAGATTATAATTTATACCCACAAACTAATTAAAAAGGATGCCATGCAATTAAGGTACAAGAGCTTAAAGCAGGAACGCTTCAAGAGCTTGTACCTCTTGATATGAAAGATGTACAGAACAAAGACTTACCCCCAGCATAGACATCACCACTTGGTGCCCATTCGTCTTCATTATAGATGGGACTGCATATTATTATAAAGAATACTTGGAAATTAGATTACCACAATAATTAGGTCATAAAATAGCAACTTATTTTCGTATTTATATATCCCAATGGATTAATTAAGAACATATAGCTTTTCATTTTAATTGTAAATTTAATTACACGATCTCTAGGTATATATATATATATGCATTCTCATAATTATAATTAATTATCTATTATTGATTTATACCTGTATCCATCAACATTAGCACCGTACTTATCAACAAACTGGTAAACACCCTTTCCCTGAATACAAATAACACTTCATTAGCTGATCTATATGATATATGGGAGTCGTTTTTCTCTATTAAAGGGTATTTTCGGTATTCTTTAGTTTAATTGTTTTATGTCTTATGAGGCCACAAGGAAGCGAACAACTTACAGTTGGCTTCCTTCCGGATGCATCTACACCATCTCTCAGTGCCATACCTCCTCCAGTTCCTGTGAACAAAACCACGTCGTTTACAACATCACTTCATTTGTATATATATGTATGAGAGAGAGAGAGAGAGAGAGAGAGAGAGTAACCGTAAGGCGTGTTGGTTTTGATCTTCTTGCCACCGCTGGCTTGAATCTTGAAGGAGGTTCTGGTAAGTGAAGGAAGGCCTTTCGCCGCCGGCTTCTGGAGGCCGGTGATGGAAGAAGGTTTGAGGTTAAGAGAGGTGGAGATGGCTGCGGCTGCCATTTTTGTTTTCTTGAATTCTTCTTACTCCTGAATGGGAGCTGATGAAGGCAGTCTATGAATTTAATCAAGCAAAAACAATCGGTGATATCCATTTTGACACGTGTCACTCATATATGGTCTGGTTTTGGATATGATTGTGCACCATTATCGTCAAATAAATAAATAAACACAGTAGTGTTTTTATGGCTACTAGAGTGATGATGAACATCCCGTAATCTGTGGACACGTGGAAGAAAGCCATTGGTTCCGGACTTCAAGTTCAGTGGTTCATGAACCTCATAAAGTCATGGGTCAACCCGATAGAGTTCATGTCCCTTACAAGTTACAAAACCGGTTTTTATTCTATTTTATTTATCTGTTTTTTATATAGTCGAGGTGTGAGTCGTATAAGCTTTTAACCTAAATTAAAGAGGATCCCTAATTATGTAATTTTTCTAATTTTATATTTTAGAACCCACGAGAAAATCTTTCAGAAACACACATGCCAAGATTCGATTTTTTTTTTTCAAATTCGAAGCTTGTAAGATTTAAATATGTCTTACTATTACAGATTTTTAGAACATTCCAACATCATCTAAGTCACTCTTGCATAATCTAAAATGTTCTAGATCGTTCAAAAGTCTTCCAAATCATTCTAGCTTCGTCTAACGCCTTCCCAATGAATCTGGATCGTTCCATCTTATACTAGGGACTTCTATAATATTCTAACGTCTTCCAGGGTCTCGTAAGATATTCTTGATTTCTCTGGAGACTCCTCGATTATTCTTTATCATTCCAACGTTCTCTAGATGGTCGTGGAGACGTTTAAAAACTTCAGTCGGGACAGCGTGCTTTGGTTTTCACAATGCAAGCCATGTTGATAAGTAGCAATGCAACCAGGTGTGGGTAGTGACATGTGGCTGCCATATCCCAAAACATAGGTCTTGGGTTTTGGACCCTATTAAAAGAAGGTAACATTTAAGGTTTGCTCTCATTTTATAGCCTTTGCCTCTAAAAGTGAAAACGATACCATTTTCGTGTACCTACTGTGTTCTATACTTTTGAGTAGTTTTGGTGCAGAAATGAGCATTTGTGTAACATCCAAAAATCAAAGTAAAATTTTTGTTTTTCAAAAACAACCCAAACACCAAAATTGTTTACAAAACATTGTTTTAAAAGTATAACTCATAAATCAAAGCATCCTAGAATCCAATAACATAAAAATCCGAAGGAATGTGCACAATCACGAAGTTGGCTTGAGTGGACCAGACACAACCATACAAACAACAACATGCCTACATAAGCCTTCAACATGACTTGACCGCTCTTCGGGCCTTTGGTATGACTGGACCGCCTCACAAGCTTTCAGTCTATCTGGGCCGCCCTGGGTGTATTGGCTTTTAGTTGCAGCTAGTCCACCTCAACCCAACCAACCATAACATGTCGACAATACAATATCAAACAATAATCAACAAACACATGTAGTCTCACAGATCTACTGGTCTAACCACATAACCAATGAATACATATCTCAACATAACATCACACAGTAAAACATGATACCAATTCCAATGGGTCGGCCTTGGTGCCTTCAACCCATAAGTACAGTGAGGAATACTCACCTTTCAATCCGAACAAATAGGTAAATAGGTCCCTGCTCTGAATATCAACTCTACCCATCACCTATTCATCAAATAGTGACCAATCTCAAATACAACTCAAAATACACAAAATACCCCCAGGTCAAACTTGGTCAAATCATGGTAAATGCCAAAAAGTCAAAAAGTAAACTTGAGTCAACTCAGCTGAGTACCCTGGGTGTACTCAACTTGTACGCGAGACGTACTAAGGCCTTGACCAAAACACATGATGTTGACTACGTACGCACAACGTATTATCTGGTACGCCCAGCATACAAAACTGACCTCTTTTCCTTCTTATTAAGAGCTTAATCCTTAAGCTCTTTTGTCCAAATTCAGATCTAGTCCTAAACTAACGTCCATAACCATAAAGTTTCCAACTTTATGGTTTTGCATGGCTATTAAGTTCCCAACAAAAAAAACCCTAACCCCTTAACTCATTAAGATACTAAAACTCATGCATGGAGGGAAACTACAATCAAGATTGCATTTTTATGACCTTAGACACTTCATAACATCTGGAAGGACAATCTATTGGTTCTAGAGCATGCCATACTAAAAAACATCAATGATTGGGGACAAAAGCTCATAATAACATCATACAAGCTAAATCTAATCAAATAAGCCTCAAGGTATGAACTTTATACCTTCTAGAGATGTGGGAGGGTGCAAAACGTCCAAATCCAAGGTCGTTCGAAGCTTTTAAGTTGTTCTTTCTTCCCTCTTCTTCCTTAATGAACAACAACAACAACACACATACACACACACACACAAATGGCTCAAAAATGCTCAAAATGAATTAGGGTTTGCAAAGGTCGAAGTTAGGGCTGGAGGCTAATGAAAGAAAGAGGAATTGGGACTTAAGGATGCTTAAATAGGGTCATATCCTAAATATTAGGGTTTGGGATTTTGGCACGTACGCGTACGCCCAATGTATGTCGTGACATCCCAAAATTACAAAAATGCCATTTTGGTCCAATTTTCCACAATTATCATATCCAGGGCTAAAATGCAATTAATTCTCATACTTAGGGTTAAAAATAGGAATACCTCAATATCAAGATGTTACAAATTGGTGCATTGTAGAGTTTATTTCTGAAAAGACCCAACCTCTTTATTGTTTTTAGACCATTGTAAGTCAGAAAGTCTCTTTGTTTATGTATTTCTTCCATAAATCTAGGCTTGTAGATGAGTTTTGGTCACTTTTGGTCCCATGTCTTGATATTCATGGAGTTGGGAGAACTCTAGAACATTATGCTTGATTTAGGATGATTTCTGAGCATTTTTAGGGTCACTTGAGTACATGTTTTAGAGCCATGCAAAAGAATCATGTCATTTAGGGATCTTTATGAGTTAGGGTTTCAGCTTCTGAGTGACTGAGTCATGGATATGGATAAAATGGAAAACTTTATCCATTAAGATCATTGTTTAATTTAAATTTGAGAATATGAGCATTGGTCATAAGAGATTAAGTGCTTAACAAGAAGTTGGTTCCGATTTGAAAAGCACGACATGACCAAGCAAGGGTCACAATGTGAAGCTTCAATCGCGACTATTTTTTCGCCTAGTGTCTGCGACACGACCAGGAGTTGAGTCGCGACACATTGACCATTTGACTTTTGACATGTTTGACTTTTGGTCAAACTTTGATAGATTTAAGATATTGTCTGACATCTGACCTTTGATTGATATTTAGGTTGCCCGTTTAGCTGATTCCTTCAAGGACACGTGTATATGACTTTAGCTCTTTATATCACGTGAATTTTCTTACTATACTATGTAAGATTATTTCTATAATTTTGTTTTAATGTGTTTCGCAAAATTATTTCTATAATTTCTTTATTATACATGGACCATTTGCATAATATTTGAATTTCACGAATACAAAGATTATTTATATAATTTTATTATTACACAATACACAAGACCATTTATATAATTTTACAAATTATATAAGAAAGAATAAATTGATGCGTAATGTGTTGCGTTTTTACTCAAACTGACATATAGCCGTTGGAAAATGCTTGCTTTGCTTTTGCCATCCTGTGTTTGATAGTTCGAACCTCTCTTCCCCTATTTATTTTCTAAACATTTTAGACATTTTATAAGTAAATTAGATTAATAATGTATTTTTGTTTATATTTTTTCTTTAATTGTCAAAAAAGAAGACAAAATTGCAAGAATGGTCCCTGTGGTATGTCAAAACTAGCAAGTTTGGTCCAAAATGGGTTTGGCTCGTAAGGATGATCCAATAGTTTCGTTTTGTTGCGAGTTTGGTCCAATTTGGTTTGAACTTTTTTGTAAAGACGATTTTACCCCTTATTATTTTATTTTTCATTTTTGTTTTCTTGTCAATAAATAAAACAAAAAGAAAATATGTCAGTCACTCACTCACACACACACACACACACACTCTCTCTCTCTCTCTCTTAATGACGATCCCCATTCCAAATCCCACATCCACGATCTTCCAGATCGTGGATTCAAGAGGTAAGAACAAAAGTTCTAAAATTTCATCAATTTATGTCATCAGATTGTGGAGGGTTTGGCAGTATGTTTCTTATGATTCAAAACTTGACGTGAATTCATCCACGCGATTCTCGATCCTACCCTAACGCCTCCGATTTTACCCACAACGGAGACAGAGGATAAACGAATCGAGTTCAGAGCTCCGTTGTGGATCGCGTTTTTGATCGTTGCGTGATGGGTTGAGGAGTTTGGCAGAACAGATTTGACCTGCTTCACCTTAAGAATATGTGTTCATTATCCCTCTTCCTGACATAATCATCAACATTGAAACACCCAAACCATCACCATCTCATCCCGAAACCATCACCTGCTTCACCTCTAGAACATGTATGTATCTGTGTCTTGAATCGATTTTTTGCTGAATAGATTTTCTGGTGGATTTGAGAGGCAGCGGCTAGGGCTGAGCTGAAAGTTTGCTCAATTTTAACTCTGACCGATATGCATATCCTTCTCCTTGATCGATGTTCAGTGAAACAAGAACATGGCTTCTTTTCTTTTTCTTTTCTGATTTTTTTGCTGGTGTACTAAAAAACAACAACGGATGTCGATTATTGAAGTTTATGGAGGTGGTTGAAGAAGATGATGACTAGATGGAGCAATAAAGGTGTTCTTCCATGAGTGGCCAGCATCTATGAGGTGATGAACTTGAAAAAACAAGTGTTCTTCCATATGATAATTAGGGATTTAAAGACCTTGGTGTTTAGAATAACATATTATCGATTTGGGGTTAGGATTTACAATCAGGGAGTTGGTAAGATCATGAGGATAAAGCAGATTCATAACAAGAGTGGAGATGAATGTGATTGTGAATCGATTGTATGTGAGTTTATAAAACATTAATGTGAATCTAAATGTGTGTTTATCTACTTTTAGGTTTTTCTCTGAGAGAGAGAGAGAGAGAGAGAGAGAGAGAGAGAGAGAGAGAGAGAGAGAGAGAGAGAGAGAGAGAGAGAGAGAGAGAGAGATTTTTGTTTTTGTTTTATTTTTAATTTTTTTTAATTGTTGGTAATAAAAAACAAAAATGAAAAATAAAATAATAAAGGTTAAAATCATCTTTACAAAAAAGTTCAAATCAAATTTGACCAAACTCG